CATACTTTGAGGTTTCGCATGAAAGAAAATATGTTAGACGCTGCTGCAATAATTTCTGCACAGAAATGAGATGGAACACAGCCAAACACCACAAAAAAGACAGCTAATCTCAACAAATACTGCTCTCTCTGCTTCTGCTCTCTCTATTTCTCTCAAAATGTTTGAAATAGTTAATTTTTTACTGTTTTTCAGTGCATTCTGGGCATTTTGAAAGGTTCCCTGAGGTGATCTTAAAAAAAAAACGCTTCTAAAACGCAAACGCACATAAACGCGGTATGCAAACGTGGCTAAACTGACGTTTTTTCACCTACGTTTTCCAGCAGTCAGTTTCCATCGTTCAGAAGTGTCTCGTGGGGCCTAAGAGGGAAATTCCCTCACTTTAAGACATTTCTTCTAACTTCATATTACATCTCTGAGACAGGAAGTGAAAAGAAATGTCCCCAATGATACCCAGACAACAAAATATAACCTGGCAGGATCTTTAACTCTTCCCTACTTCATCCAAACCTAGATAAAAATGTTTTGGCTATACATGCACTTTAAAAATCCACTTGATTTTTTTTTAATGAACAGATAACATTGAAAGTGGACCTTCACCCATTACAACCTCTTTTTTTGCTTCTGATGCCTCCCACTTCCCTCCTCCACAATTGGATAAGCTTCCCACATTTTTAGGAAGGCTTCTGAACTTTTTTTTAGTGCTGTAGCCCGGCACTTCCTGCTTTCCAGCCTAGGGGAGAATGATGTAGGGCCCCCCCACTACCTCCTGGGATGTCCATGTTACACATCCAAATAGACAGTTTTACTGATGGATGCATGTGTGGCGTGGAATTCTGCACCTACGCAGATGAAGATCTTTGCAAACTGGCAGAGACCTGCAGCACATACAGTGGGGCAAAAAAGTATTTAGTCAGCCACCAATTGTGCAAGTTCTCCCACTTAAAAAGATGAGAGAGGGCCTGTAATTGGCATCATAGGTAGACCTCAACTATGAGAGACAAAATGAGAAAACAAATCCAGACAATCACATTGGCTGATTTGGAAAGAATTTATTTGCAAATTATGGTGCAAAATAAGTATTTGGTCACCTACAAACAAGCAAGATTTCTGGCTCTCACAGACCTGTACCTTTTTCTTTAAGAGGCTCCTCTGTCCTGCACTCATTACCTGTATCAATGGCACCTGTTTGAACTTGTTATCAGTATAAAAGACACCTGTCCACAACCTCAAACAGTCACACTCCAAACTCCACTATGGTGAAGACCAAAGAGCTGTCGAAGGACACCAGAAACAAAATTGTAGACCTGCACCAGGCTGGGAAGACTGAATCTGCAATAGGCAAGCAGCTTGGTGTGAACAAATCAACTGTGGGAGCAATAATTAGAAAATGTAAGACATACAAGACCACTGATAATCTCCCTCGATCTGGGGCTCCACGGAAGATCTCACCCCGTGGGGTCAAAATGATCACAAGAACGGTGAGCAAAAATCCCAGGACCACACGGGGGGAAATGTGAATGACCTACAGAGAGCTGGGACCAACGTAACAAAGGCTACCATCAGTAACACACTACGCCGCCAGGGACTCAGATCCTGCAGTGCCAGACGTGTCCCCCTGCTTAAGCCAGTACATGTCCGGGCCCCGTCTGAAGTTTGCTAGAGAGCATTTGGATGATCCAGAAGAGGATTGGAAGAATGTCATATGGTCAGATGAAACCAAAATAGAACTGTTTGGTAGAAACACAACTCATTGTGTTTGGAGGAGGAGAGAGAATGCTGAGTTGCATCCAAAGAACACCATACCTACTGTGAAGCATGGGGGTGGCAACATCATGCTTTGGGGCTGTTTCTCCACAAAGGACCAGGACGACTGATCCATGTACAGGACAGAATGAATGGGGCCATGTATTGTGAGATTTTGAGTGCAAACCTCCTTCCATCAGCAAGGGCATTGAAGATGAAACGTGGCTGGGTCTTCCAACATGACAATGATCCCAAACATACCGCCCGGGCAACAAAGGAGTGGCTTCTTAAGAAGCATTTCAAGGTCCTGGAGTGGCCTAGCCAGTCTCCAGATCTCAACCCCATAGAAAACCTTTGGAGGGAGTTAAAAGTCTGTGTTGCACAGCGACAGCCCGAAAACATCACTGCTCTAGAGGAGATCTGCATGGAGGAATGGGCCAACATACCAGCAACAGTGTGTGCCAACCTTGTGTAAGACTTACAGGAAACTTTTGACCTCTGTCATTGCCAACAAAGGATATATAACAAAGTATTGAGATGAACTTTTGATATTGACCAAATACTTATTTTCCACCATAAAATAAATTCTTTCCAAATCAGCCAATGTGATTGTCTGGATTTTTTTTCTCATTTTGTCTCTCATAGTTGAGGTCTATCTATGATGCCAATTACAGGCCTCTCTCATCTTTTTAAGTGGGAGAAATTGCACAATTGGTGGCTGACTAAATACTTTTTTGCCCCACTGTATACACACACACTGAGGGTTCCTAGGCAGATGCTGCAGGTATGAAGGTCCCAAATACCTGCAGTGTGGTCACATGAAAAACAAATTCTCCACACATACGCAGATGTGTTGCGCGTCTTGATGTGCCTCCCAGACTTCAGTTTTCTCTGAACACAGCTAAACTGTCCGCACCTAAACATACAGTGTGAATTTTACTGGCTAAAATAAATCCATGTATTTACTATATGCTTTTAGAAATGTCTTGTTAGGGCCTCATTCATATGGAATGTTAGTATACACAAAATAGGTGCGGTTTCGCTTTCAATAGTGTCAGATATTCAAAATTCAGTATAAATCAACTAAAACACTCCTCAACTAATTAAAGTATCAGTGCAACAATAAAAAGTGCATGTGTCTTTAAATATAGGTGAAAATTTGTCATAAGTGATCAATTGTTAGTATCTTAAATGTGATGTGCCACAAGTCCATTTCAAACCAGTGCCAACTGTAGTGTGCCAGACCACCAAGGTGCCAAAACTCCTTGCCGGATAGGAAGGATCTCTAAATTATAGGAGATCTTTAGTACATAAGAAGTAATGGATTCCGTAAGCCACAGGTAAAAATGATCATCAGCCATCAGGCAGGATAACCCACAGAGCTCATAACATTACGAGAAGAATGTAAGGACAAAAGCACATTGTGTGAGAAAATGTAAAACATCAGCAATTTATTACAACGTAGACCACTCACAAACATGTGAGAGAACAATCGTATAACACTGCTGAACAACAAGTGGTGGGTGTGATGACAGCACTTGCCAGGCTCCGCCCGACGCATTTCATCACAGGAAGGACATCTTCACGGGAAGGAAGCTTCTATTGACTATTTATGTATTTTAGAGTATTGCTTTTCTATATGGTTGAAAATACACCTAGCACAGGAATTACCCATATGGAAGAAAAATATATTTGAAATATATTTAAAAAATATTCTTCCCAAATATATTGACATATAGTTGAGATGCTACAATTTTGGCCATATTCAATATATTTCAAAATATATTTCAATACATATATATATATACTGCATGTTGAAATGTGTTTTTATTACAAAATATATGGAAAATATTTTTAAACATACATTTTCAAATATACTGTATGTCTTTAAAAATACATTTAATCTACGTTTTTGGAATTCATTTACAAATATATGTAAAAATATATGTTAGAATGATTTTTTTATATGTTAAAAAAAATCTGAAGAATATATTTTAAAAAAATATATTTTTAAAAATATTTTTCATATATTTTGTAATTTATAAAAGACACATTTCAACATGCAGTGTATGTATATTTATACAATATATATATATATATTATATATATATATATATATATATTTTTTTTTTTTTTTTTTGTTTTTTTTTTTTTTTTTTTTTTTTTTTTTTTTTATTTATTTTTTTAAATATATTGAATATGGAATATTTCCATATATATATGGAATATATATATATTGAATATTGAAATTGTAGCATTTCAAATATATATCAATATATTTGGGAAGAATATTTTTTTTAAATATATTTCAAATATATTTTTCTTCCATGTGGGTAGTGCCAGCTGCAGAAGAGTCCGGTATATTACTGTGGTTGGATGTACAGAGGGAGGCAGATAGTTTTATGCAGGTGTTTGCATATAATTGCACATGGTGCGATTACCTGCGATTAGTGACAGATGATCATCTCCTGATACAAGCTGTTTGTGTTCAGGGGTGATCATTTATCCCTGATCACAGGTAATCGCTCCATGTGAATGATCTCCAAACACATGGGTAGAGCTGAGCCCACTGTCAGCCTGTCATTGTTATGTCCACATCCAGCTACATAAGTAAGTACACTGGATTCTTTCTGTAGCTGGCAATCCAATCCCGTGTGAATAAGGTCCTAATAAAGTGAAGTATTTGCACTGTGTGTATTTATACTGTGTGTTGTGTTTTGGGATTTGTACATCAGAAATGCTAATTTATTGGTCCTGGCTCACTTTAATATTGCGTCTCCAGTGAATTTACTGCGATCAATATGATGTCATAACACTGAGCGGTTCTTTAATCTGCAGTCAGTTTCATGAGCCCAGACGTAACTGTGAGCCAGAACTGAAAAGGGTGATTGTGGGATAAACAGATGCCGATGAGATTTCAGAAAGCAGTTGCTGAGCCCAGATTTTACTGGTAACAAATGTTTCCAAGGGAACCCAGTATGAAGCCGTACCTGCCGCCGCTTAATGTTTAACAATGCATGATTGGATGATTGTAAAGCTCATGCACAGCTCAGCCTGACACAGAACACAGATACACATGTGCTAAGGATGTTGTCAGGCAGCCAGTGCATATTTTGTACAAAACAAACTTTAACTGTTAGCAGCTGGCTGCGTTCACAAGTCTCATGACAGTCTGGTTAGGGGGTTTTATTATTTAAGGGAAATCTATTGAAGAATAGATTATTAGCCGTTGTTGACCGCCAGTGCTGAAAATGCTAGCTGCCTGGCTGGCATGGTGATCCAGGGGCTTTAGCACTCATTCAGGATAAGTATGTTGCTAAGGTGTTATCATGTCACTCAGGGATAGGAGTCTGCAAACGTTCAATACAAAGGGCCAGTTTACTGCCCTTTAGGCTTTGGGGGGACCAGATTGTAGCCAGTGGAGAGTAGAAAATTTCCTGGCATTGGTAGGAGTAAACCATGCCATAGGCTTGGTGATCAGTGGGAGGAATAGTGCCCCATCATTGGTGTCAATGGGAGGAATAGTGCCCCATTATTCGTGTCAGTGGGAGGAATAGTGCCCCATCATTGGTGTCAGTGGGAGGAATAGTGCCCCATCATTGGTGTCAATGGGGGGAATAGTGCCCCATTATTCGTGTCAGTGGGAGGAATAGTGCCCCATCATTGGTGTCAGTGGGAGGAATAGTGCCCCATTATTCGTGTCAGTGTGGAGGAATAGTGCCCCATCATTGGTATCAGTGATAGGATGGGAGGAATAGTGCCCCATCATTGGTATCAGTGGGAGGAATAGTGCCCCATCGTTGGTATCAGTGGGGAATAGAGCCCCATCGTTGGTATCAGTGGGAGGAATAGTGCCCCATCATTGGTGTCAGTGGGAGGAATAGTGCCCCATCATTGGTGTCAGTGGGAGGAATAGTGCCCCATCGTTGGTATCAGTGGGAGGAATAGTGCCCCATCATTGGTGTCAGTGGGAGGAATAGTGCCCCCATCATTGGTATCAGTGGGAGGAATAGTGCCCCATCATTGGTGTCAGTGGGAGGAATAGTGCCCCAATCTTTGGTATCAGTGGGAGGAATAGTGCCCCATTATTGGTGTCAGTGGGAGGAATCGTGCTCCATCGTTGGTATCAGGTATCAGTGGGAGGAATAGTGCCCATCATTGGTGTCAGTGTGGAGGAATAGTGCCCCATCGTTGGTATCAGTGGGAGGAATAGTGCCCCATCATTGGTGTCAGTGGGAGGAATAGATCCGCCCCATTGTTGGTATCAGTGGGAGGAATAAGTGCCCCATCATTATCAGTGGGAGGAATAGTGCCCCATCATTGGTGTCAGTGGGAGGAATAGTGCCCCATCATTGGTATCAGTGGGAGGAATAGTGCCCCATCATTGGTATCAGTGGGAGGAATAGTGCCCCATCATTGGTATCAGTGGGAGGAATAGTGCCCCATCACATGTTGGGGAGGAATAGTGCCCTTCATTGGTGTCAGTGGGAGGAATAGTGCCCCATCATTGGTGTCAGTGGGAGGAATAGTGCCCCATCATTGTGTCAGTGGGAGGAATAGTGCCCCATCATTGGTGTCAGTGGGAGGAATAGTGCCCCATCATTGGTATCAGTGGGAGGAATAGTGCCCCATCATTGGTGTCAGTGGAGGAATAGTGCCCCATCATTGGTGTCAGTGGGAGGAATAGTGCCCATCATTGGTGTCAGTGGGAGGAATAGTGCCCCATCATTGGTATCAGTGGGAGGAATAATGTGCCCCATCATTGGTGTCAGTGGGAGGAATAGTGCCCAATCATTGGTGTCAGTGGGGAGGAATAGTGCCCCATCATTGGTGTCAGTGGGAGGAATAGTGGGAGGAATAGTGCCCCATCACTGGTATCAGTGGGGGAGGAATAGTGCCCCATCATTGTGTCAGTGGGAGGAATAGTGCCCCATCATTGTTGTCAGTGGAGGAATAGTGCCCCATCATTGGTATCAGTGGGAGGAATAGTGCCCCATCATTGGTGTCAGTGGGAGGAATAGTGCCCCATCATTGGTGTCAGTGGGAGGAATAGTGCCCCATCATTGTTGTCAGTGGGAGGAATAGTGCCCCATCATTGTTGTCAGTGGGAGGAATAGTGCCCCATCATTGGTATCAGTGGGAGGAATAGTGCCCCCTCTCTCCCACAGATCACAGTTTGGAGAACTCTGCTCTAAGGGGAAGTTTTATTAAAGCTGGATCACTCAGAATCTGGTGCAGCTGTGCATGGTGGCCAATCAGCTTCTAACTTCAGTTCGTTCAATTAATCTTTGACAATAAAACCTGGAAGCTGATTGGTTTCTATGCAGAGCTGCACCAGATTTTGCACTCTCCAGCTTTAGTATAAAATACCCCATAGAGTCTTCTGAACTTCCACTCCATTACACCTCTGTCTACAACTGGGGTCTTCCAGGCAGTCTCTATGGATATTTTGACTGCCAGTAACATATAAAAGATCAAAATTTGTGTATGTTTGGGAATATCAACAGGTTCATTCAGGAGCACAGTCTGTGCCTTTTTGGGGATATTAATCATCATTACTGAGTATATTAAGGTGTGCACCGTTGTCCGGAACCGCTGGACCTTAGGGCACCTTGTGTAATACATGAAACCTTCCTGGCCACAACCTCTAAAACCCCCAGAGGAAACTCCCGGATACGTTTTGAATAGTCTGGCTGGGGCCAAATACCAACAAGACATAACCTTGTAGTTAGCCTTAATCAATTGAACATTCAAAATTCCTTGTGAATTTTGCAGGTCCAGATATTCCGGTCCTCCTGAGCCATTTCCATTTCCAAGTCACTTTTCCAAGCCAGCCTATATGGGAGTTGGATGGCTGAAATAACAAACATTATCTATAAAAGTCACCCCTCGAAGGCAACTATTATCAAAGGCTGTCCGTACTGTAATATCATCTGTCTACCTTTGCAGTTTTGATAGAAAGTGAGTGATTTTTGCATAGGCAAAAAGACTCCTTTTATGGCATTTGCAACGTTTGGAGAAAGTATATTTACTTGTTTTTGCTTTTTTTTTTTTTTACTTTTTTTTAGTTTTTCTTGGTTTCTGGTCTAGGCCAAAATGATGACATACATTCCAGGGGTCGTCATGCATATTTTCTTTCTTTTGTCTGGAGGAGGGAAGGAGGGTCTTTCTCAGCTAAGCGCACCCTCCTGCCTGCATGCCTGAGCTAAGGGCAGATGGATCCCAGGAAGTAAATGCTACATAGATCATCTGCCCTTAATTAAGATGGCCATGGCCAGACATGCTAGCGGAGTATTTTTCAAAGTGATTTCTCAAAAAAATACAGCATGGAGACATGGATGGATGGGCGAGTTTGCTGTGAATATTAAAAATGAAGTAGTGGTTTTGGTTTGTGGTGCTCAGATACAATTTAGTTCCACTTTAAGCAATAGATTGTATAATTGCAGCTCAATAAAAGTTGAGAAATATTGTCACGTTGGGTGTTTCATGTTCAGTTGTAGCCCTCAAGCACACAGGATGTTTTGATAACGCTGGTAACGATAGCTGTGTAAAGTCACGTTAAAAACGTGATTTTTTTCAGCTTTTTTTTAGCGTTTTTGCATTAGCGTTTAGCGGCACTTTTTTGTGTTTGCATTTTTTTAGTCCAAAAATGCTGGTTTGCGGCATTTTTACCAGGTTTTTTAACGTTAGAGCATTTTTCCAGCTAAAAAACTCCTCTAGAAACCCACTTATCCTGGGGTTTTTTTCCAGCCAAAAAACATCCCAGCCAAAAAACGTTGATTACAGCAGTGGCGTTTTGAGGCAAGTGCGGGGGGTGCGCACCGCACCGGGTGACACCTACAGCACGGGGTGACACCGGACCCGCTCCACGACAAGGTAGGTTGTAAAGCAAGCCGGCTATCCCCGCAGGATGGATCGGATCTGTGGATTGAACATAATGGATCAGAGTCCGATCCATTATGCTCCCCAATCTGCAGATCCGATCCATCCTGTGGGGATTGTTGGCTTGCTTTACAACTTACCTTTTTGTGGAGAGGGTCCAGTGTCACCCCGTATAGGTTGCATGCTGATGATCCCCGAAGGATGGATCGGATCTGTGGACTAAGCATGATGGATCGGAGTCCGATCCATTATGCTCCCCAATCCGCAGATCCAATCCATCCTGCGGGGATCGTCGGCTTGCTTTACAACTTACCTTTTCGTGGAGCGGGTCCAGTGTCACCCCGTATAGGTTGTATGCCGACGATCCCCGAAGGATGGATCGGATCTGCGGATTGGGGAGCACAATGGATCGGAGTCTGATCCATTATGCTCAATCCGCAGATCCGATCCATTCTGCGGGGATCGTCGGAGGGGGTGTCACCAAGTGTTATCGCACTGGGTGACACCAACCCTAGGGACGCCTCTGGATTACAGTCTAGGTGTGCATGGACACATAGGATAACATGCTGGGGGGTTTACTAGCTGTAGAACAGCCGCTGTAAAAAAAACATCCAGTGTGCATGAGGACTAAAGGCTTGGAGATGCAGTGGAATCCGGGAATCATCCATCCCAGCTGTTAACAGACCTGTAGAGTCATTAAAAGCTGTAATCATTGGTGTGCTGCACTCCCCCCATAGAGAGCTGTCAGGCTGGGATCTATTGTAGTACAAGGCCCCTCTACTCCTCTGTAGGGTTGTATGAAGTGTAAAGCCCAGTGACAACCCTAATTCATAGCTTTCTTTACATGGATCCTTGTCCTACACATAACCTCTCATGTCTTTCTGAGAGTTCAGACCTGGTACTTAGTATGTGGAAATCATGCAAATAGTTCCGTTGGAATTCCATGAAAGGAAATCTGTTCGGAAAAAGATTCTAATGCTTTTTAAAGTGGTTTGATTAAAGGAGAAGAGGAAACCTGCAATGCACTGAGGAAGCATGGAGCCTGTCATCGCTACCCTCCCCTTCTGAAAAAAATGAGTTCCCTGGCTGTTGTTTCAGAGGTTTTAGTGCTTTCTGAGTCGCTGACCTTCTAATCTACCTGCTTGTTCTGGGTCAGTGTCTCAGGGAAGGAGTTAACGGATATGTAAACCCTGACAATCAGCTCATTTTCTCTCCTTTTGCTCTGTTATACCATTGGAAGAATTTTGTTACATTTATTTGATTAGTGCAAAAATTACCTGTTTTTATCCTGCCAGCAATCCAGTGAGCTGACAACTAGGGATGAGCTCAGGTGTGTTCAGATCCTACAATACATAAAAAACAAAAGAGGGTGCAAACGCCGCCCTAGCGCATCATCCTTTACACTTTATTAAAACAAAGACATAAAATTTATACTCACAAAAGTAGTGAGCTGAAAGCATGTAAATGCATAAAGCACACTGATGAGTCTGCCCCCCACCTCTGCCTGGAGACAGGATGAAGGGTGGAACTTTGAGCTCCTGAACAGTAGACTGTTTTATTCTTGGCAAGAATGAGGTAATCTACTTGAGAAAATAGTTGTGATTTGGTAATTTTATTTATCGAGTTTATATAGCGCCAAAGGGTTTGCTCAGCGCTGTACAATAGAGGGGGGGACAATACATGAAACAGAACAGTAACATCAAACAGTACACAAGGGGTAAGAGGGCCCTACTCTTTCGAGCTTACAATATAGGAGGGAGGGGGTAGAGGCACAGGAGGAAACGGCTGTGGGGGATGGAGTGGTAGGAAGAGGGAAGGGCAGCGGCTGTTAGGTGAGGGTGGGGTAGGCTTCCCTGAAGAGGTGGGTTTTCAGGGAGCGCCTGAAGGTGAGGAGGGAAGGTGACAGTCTGATGGATTGGGGTAGAGAGTTCCAGAGGATGGGGGAGGACCTGGAGAAGTCTTGCAGTCGTGCGTGGGAGGAGGAGACCAGGGAGCAAGATAGAAGGAGGTCCTGTGAAGAGCGAAGGGTACGGGTAGGGTGGTACCTGGGAATCAGGTCGGTGAGGTAGTTAGGGGCAGTGTTGTGAATGGCCTTATAGGTCAGGGTGAGCAATTTGAATTTAATGCGTTGGGCAATGGGGAGCCAGTGGAGGGAGAGGCAGAGGGGGTGGCAGAGGTGGAGCGGCTGGTGAGGTGGATGAGTCTGGCTGCTGAGTTCAGGATGGTCTGAAGCGGGGAGAGCCTGCACTGGGGTAGGCCCGGTGAGGAGGGGAGTTGCAGTAGTCAAGGCGTGAGATAATCAGGGAGTGTACGAGTAGTTTAGTGGTGTCTGGGGTAAGGAAGGAGCGTATCTTGGCGATGTTCCGGAGGTGGAGCCTGCATGTGTTTGTAAGTGATTTGATATGAGGTTGAAAGGTAAGTTTTGAGTCCAGAATGACGCCAAGGACCTTGGCTTTCTGGGCGGGATTGATGGTGGTGTTGTTGGTAGTGATGGAAAGGATGGGGTGGGGGCGCGGGCAGGGGGGAAGACGAGAAGCTCGGTTTTGGAGAGGTTGA